AGGAAATCCAAAGTGTGGGATCATTTTGAGAAGGTGAAGGACGAACCCAAGGTGATATGTAAACTCATCTTCATTGGTCGACTACAAACATGACGTATCATCTGAAACATGGAAGTAGCTACATGCCCATTAGCCCACAGCGTCATTAACAGGCGGCTCGCTCAGTGTGTGACGTGCACTTGGAGATAAAATATAGGCCTATATTAATGAAGGTTCATTAGTACGGTTTTGTATTTCTCTGTAATGTAGCACAGCAAACGACAGCAAAATTATATGAAAACATTGGTTTACAAACCCTCACACAACTCGTGCACTATAATCAAAGTGTCATTTAACAGTCTCAGGCATTGCCCAGTAGCCCAGACACCAGGGGTCTCTTTATAGAACAATGTGTAGGATCCATACTCAAAATGTACGTACAGACGAAAGTCAAAAATGGTACGTGCCAAAAAATATTCAACAATTTCTACAATCAGGCTTCCACTTCTCCATCTGCATTGCCTATTTTCAGTCACAACAATCAGGCTACGTGCATTCTCCTCTTCTCTCCTCTCTATTCTTGAATCCTTTCCTTTTCTCTCCTCAATTTGTTCTTCTTCTTTCCTCATTCTCTTCCCCTCCTTTGCTTTTTAATAGTCTTGCTCTAATTGTTATAATGATCTTCTAAATAGGATTTTAATTTTCCTAAACACTCCCAGAAAACAGATGCATACACCCCACGCACCTCCTCTGCTCCTCTGCACTCTTTACGCAGCACAGCCCCAAACTGCAGGTCATTTTTGTTTAAATCATTTATCAGAGCTGCGACGTGGGAAACATAAACTTGATTTCAAAATGATTTTGGTTTAAAAAGATCAGTTAAAGTGGGGAAGATTTTCAGCGTCTGTCTCTGGGTTATTGCCCATGTTAGACTGACTGTATTGAGATGTCTTTATAGTGGTTTAATTTATATCAGTGACAAACAGCGCTGACGCTTAGGGCAAATACTATCGTTATCTGGCTGTCCATAAAGACGTGATGCTGCCGTTCACTCGACTTGCATGCACCTGCCACAAGAGAAAATGTGGAGGCAGGAGCTCGACTCAAATGCAGTTGTCGAGCAAACAACACACTTTTAATTTGAAACTGACGCCATGGGCTAAACTTAAAAGCTAAAATATAAAATCATAAAAAGAAACAGAAAAACATGTCTTGCAAGAAGGGCAAAAGTGCAGGTGCATCTGTGCACGTGCCTGATTTTAGGAAAAATGCATGTGTCTGGGAAGCACTGAGCACACGACTGGATACATGAGACTTGGATGATACTGCACAAGTTAAGCCAGAGTTTATTATCAGATTTTTTGCTGCTGTTAAACATAATCCTCGTTTACTGCAGTTTACGACGATTGTTCGGCTTTTTCAGATTCTCCGTTCACTGTTGAGGCGTCGCAAGAACGAATTTGACGAAACACAGCGTCAGCAACTGACAGACAAATCATCATTTTGCAGGTGATGTATTCTTTTAACAAACTCAGGTGTTTGTTGTCTGTTCTGTGTTTTTAAGCATCAAATCAATCAAATACTGGAAGCCATTTTCTCCTTCCCTCTCCAGGTGTTGAGGCGTTCTACTGCAGTGGTTCCCAACTTCTATTTCATCTGTTTTAACTTCAGCTTCAGCTACTTGACAGAGACGGCAAACTAACTGGATGACATGGCCAAATGCAAGTATGACGCTGAATATATTAAACTGTGTGGACCTTCAATGACTAAGCAGATATCTGGACCCCGTGGCTGCACCAGTTGGGAACCACTGATCTACTGCATGTGTTACACATAGTATAAAGCCTTTTGTGTGTCCAGAGGGAGGTGTGTGAAGTCTCATCAGATTGTGGAGTAAAAAACAGAAGTAAGCTTACCAGACCTCTGCAGCCCGCTGCTCATCTCTGCTGCAGGTCAGAGGCCTCAGGCTACATAAGCTGCTACTGACATAACACACGACAATCGCCCACACAGCTGTCAGAGGGAGAGGTGCACTGTGGGTAATGTAGGCTTTAAGAAGGAAGGAGAATGTGTGCTGCATCGATTTAGATCCTTTTTTCAGTCACAGGTGTGATGATAAATCTACGGAACGCTCCTTTAAATATATACAGACTGTATACAGTTTGTGCTATAATCCAGACGACAGACAACGATGAGCTTGTTATTTGGCATTAAAAGATTACACAGATATGTAATTTAATAATATATAATATAAAATAATAGCTTCAGCTGTTCTTACAGTATCTTTTTAATTCTACTCTTCTGACCTCAGTCTACGACCTGCTCCTCCTCCCATCTACTTCACTTCACTCGTTCTGTCACTCTGACTGTGAGTCAAGTGACCCTTCAGCCAATCACAGTGTCCACTGCTCCTCCGTCTCTGAGTTTTGACTTCCTACGTTCCATCAGAAACCATCAGACTGTGTGAAAGTTTTCTGCTCTGTGTCTCTCAGAGCTGACGGTTTGGTTCCTCACTGGAGGCGTAGCAAGGCACCAACAGCAGCAAGTTGGAGGTGTCTTTGTGAACATCTCCATCAGAGCTCCGAGCTCTCCCGAATCGTCTTTCTTATCTTTTTAAACCAGTTCATCAGGAGGAGATCTGGGAGCTGCAGTGCCAGCAGAATCATCAGGGTAATTCCAAGGCATGATTCATTAATCTGAGGGGACTGATCAAATATTACAGGGTTAAATGAGTCCTTCTCAGTGTCTTTGCTGGTATTATAAAAGTCCTACTGGCTGCTTTTATTCCACTGAAAGTTTCTGTAAAGGGCAGAATGATCGTGGGGGTCACATGCTGCGAGGAGCTCTGGGACAAATGTGCGATTCAGGGTTATAGAAATGAAACTGATTCCTTCCTGACTTCACCAGACTCTGTGGAAACTTTGATAGATTTCACTGAGCTGTGATAAAACCTTATTTCCTCTCAGACATCATACGGCCTCTCCTCCTCCTCTTCCTCCTTCTCCCCCTCCTCCTCCTCCTCCTCCTCCTTGGTCTTCTTGGTGAAAGCAGACGACAGCTCCTGCAGCAGCAGCTCCTGTGATGGAGTACAGACTCCCTGCAGCTGCTGCCTCTTCCTCACTGCAGGCTGCTGAGGGATGTTCAAGTCTTCTCCATCACCTCCTCCGCTGCTGCCTCCGCTCTGCTCCAGACTGTCCACAGAACCGGCACCGGAACACCCCGAGTCGGGGATGATTATGTGGTCCGAGTGCCCGGCTTCCATGGGAATTAGTCTGAGCGGCGGGAGGTCTGGGACTTCCTGGGTCTCGGCAGCGCTGCTGGACAGGAAGCTGGTCTCCAGAGATTTAAGGACCTGCAGGCCAAAGTCCCCGACCTCCTCGTAGAGCGGCTCAGGGAGGTCAGGAGACTCCGAACGCTCCTCGAATGAGTCCTGCTGCACCTTCATGGGCTGCAGATAAACAGATATATAAATATATATACTGGATTGTATATCGATGATGCATCACCTCATTTTCCTCCAGAATAAAATACTAAAAGTACAAAATCAAAATATTAAATTCTCACAATGTACAAAATAAAAATAAAAAATACTCTAAGTACAAAATAAATTAAAAACAAATACACACAAAGTACAAAATAAAAAATACTCAAAGTACAAAATAAAAATAAAAAAATACTCTAAGTACAAAATAAATTAAAAAAATAGTCACAAAGTACAAAATAAAAATGAAAAATACTCATCAACTACAAAATAAAAGTAAAAAAATACTCAAAGTACAAAATAAAAATAAAAAATACTCTAAGTACAAAATAAATAAAAAAAAAAGTCACAAAGTACAAAATAAAAATGAAAAATACTCATCAACTACAAAATAAAAGTAAAAAAATACTCATAAATTACAAAATAAAAGTAAAAAAATACTCACAAAGTACAAAATATAAATTACTCATTAAGAACAAAATGAAAGTATAAAATAAACAAAGTACTAAATTAAAAAAAATACTTAAAAAGTACAAAGTACAAAGAATAAAATACTCACAAAGTATAAAATGAAAATAAAAAATATTCACAAAGTAGAAATTAAAAGTGTAAAATAATCACAAAATAAAAGTCTAAAGTATAAAACACTCAGAAAGCACAAAATGAAAATCTAAAATACTTAAAAATTAAAAGAATAAAATACAAATTAAAAGTAGTAGTAGTGCAAAAAATAAACACAAAACATAAGAAATAAAAAATATTAAATACTCACAAAGTACATGGAGAGCGTCCTTCTGTCGTGTAACTTTCTCTGCAGAGAGAAGAAAATAAAAAGTCTGATGAATAATTTTATGAGTCTTTCTCCAAAGAGAAAAAGAGCTGATTCTTAACTTTTAGTGGAAATATATTTTTAATACTTAACGAACAGTGAACTAGTCTCAGTCATTTTTTCACAGCACTAAGTTAAGATATTTAAATAAAATGAAACATTATTCAGTATCAGCATACCAGCGAAGAACCCTGCAAACAAACTCAGCCTAAAATCTGAAGCACAATTTCACTAATTTTAAAAAGGATTTTCTAGAAACAAAAGCTCCGTCAGCATCATGACACCACAGAAGAAGAAACTCCAGAGCTGGTTCACATTATAAACACACAAAGCGATCACATCCTCCTGGCTATTATATATTTATTCATTTATTTATTTAACTTACACTTTTTTAAAAAAAAATAACTTCTTCAGATTATTGAAAAGTATTTTGTATTATTCAAGATTTAAAAAAAATGTTACTGTCCCCAAAGTGCACACTGTTTTCAGACAGAAGTTCAGCAATATATTTTTGTGACCACCTCTGCCAGACTTCCTATCAGAGCAGAGCAGCGTCCTGGTGACAGTTTGTTTTGTGTTTCTTTTCTGTGACACATTTTCAGTTGAACGGACTCAAAATACAGTCAAAGTATTCTAAACTAGTTTATCCAACTACAGTTAAAGATGTTAAGAACGTCGTCTGACCAGCTTCTGATTGGCCGCCAGCATGCTGTTGTTGCTCTCGTCTCCTCTGATGGGCACGAGCGGCATTGTGCCGAACTTCTGCTTGGAGATATCTGCGGAGGAGTGACGCCTCAGGACTGGAGGACCCGGGTCATCATTCTGAAAGATAAACCAAAGACAAAATGTCAGCAGGAGGAGACGTCCTGCAGAGAGCCGAGGACTCTGGGAGTTTAAAGCATTGTAGTTCTTGTTAGAAGTCTCCTTTCAGACACATCTGCTGGGACGAGGATCAGATTCAGAGCAGCTTCAGTCCCCTGACGGACAAACTGCTCCAACCTCCTTCTGTCTGAATCTGATCCTGAATCAGTTCCTCAGCGTCATGGAAACAGACTGAAACAGCAGCAGGAGAGTCGGTCTGACCTGAGCTTTGAGGAAGCTGGTGATCCAGTCCCACAGTTCAGCCTCAGAGCTGCAGCACAGATACCTAAGAGAAACAAATATACACTGAGGTTAAATCTACTATGAAGCTGGATTACATCTTAATGTTATAAAACCAACATAAATACAAACTCTAAAGTGTTCTGGGATAAATACAGTGAGTCTGTTCCCGTTATAAGATCATCCTGACTTTATAAACATTTATATTAATCATCAAAACTAAATGTAACTTCAACTGTTAAACTCAGGAATCAGGGACTTTACAGGCAAACTATTTCAATTATAAATTGTCAAACTACACTGTGTGCACAATTATTAGGCAAGTTGTATTTATGAGGATTAATTTTATTATTGAACAACTACAGTGCTCTTGGTCAATCCAAAATGTTAATAAACCTCAAACTTGAATATTTAAGAAAGTAAAAGTGAGGTTTTGGCTTTCTTAGGAGAAAATCCATGTGTGCACAATTATTGGACAACTATTAGTGTGCAGAATTATTATGCAACTAAATGAAAAATGAAAATTTTCACATCTCACTTGTTTATTTTCATCTATTAAAGTGAGAATAATAAACAAACAACTCAAAATCTACAAACATACATTTCTGACATTTCAAAAAAAAAATTCAGTGACCAATATAGCCACCCTTCTTTTCAATAATGGTCATAAGCCTTCCATTCATGGAGTCTGTCAGTTTCTTGATCTGTTGACGATCAACTTTTTGTGCAGCAACAACCACAGCCTCCCAGACACTGTTCAGAGAGGTGTACTGTTTTCCTTCCCTGTAAATCTCCCGTTTAAGAAGGGCCCACAAGTTCTCAATAGGGTTTAGGTCAGGTGAGGAAGGGGGCCATGTCATTATTTTTTCATCTTTAAGGCCTTTGCTGGCGAGCCACACAGTGGAGTACTTCGACGCATGCGATAGAGCATTGTCCTGCATAAAAATCATGGTCCTCTTGAAAGATGCAGACTTTTTCCTGTACCACTGCTTGAAGAAAGTGTCTTCTAAAAACTGGCAGTAGGTTTGGGAGTTCATTTTGAGTCCATCTTGAACCCGAAAAGGTCCAACTAGCTCATCTTTAATAATACCAGCCCATACCAGTACCCCACCTCCACCTTGCTGGCGTCTGAGTCGAAGTGGAGCTCTGTGCCCATTACTGATCCAGCCACGGGCCCATCCATCTGGTCCGTCAAGAGTCACTCTCATCTCATCAGTCCATAAAACCTTTGAAAAATCTGTCTTCAGGTATTTCTTGGCCCAGCCTTGATGTTTCAACTTATGTGTCTTGTTCAGTGGTGGTCGGGTTTCAGCCTTCCTTACCTTGGCCATGTCTCTGAGCACTGAACACCTTGTACTTCTGGGCACTCCAGGTAGGTTGCAGTTCTGGAATATCACAGCACTGGAGGATAATGGGTTCCTGGTAGCTTTATGTTTGATTCTTCTCAAATCTTTTGCAGTTAATTTGCGTCTTTTTTTCTCAACACGTTTCTTGCGACACTGTTGACTATTTGCAACAAAACGTTTGATGGTTCTGTGATCACGCCCCAATATCTTGGCAATTTCAAGAGTACTGCATCCCTCTGAAAGACTTTTTACAATTTTTGTCCTTTCAGAGTCAGTTAAATCTCTTTTTTGGCCCATTTTGCCTGAGTAAGAGAAGCTGCCTAATAATTATGCACACCTTGATATAGGCTGTTGATCTCCTTAGGTCATACCCTCCCTCGTTAGACAAATACACATCACCTGATATGCTTAAATCCAATAAGCATTCAAGTTTATACAGCTTGGAGTTGGAGAATATGCACAAAAATGATGATATGGTCAAAATACTCACTTGCCTAATAATTGTGCACACAGTGTAAATAAATCAGTGATTGCAGTTGAGTCCTGTCTGCACCAGTTTCTGTTTTAAACCAGAAGTCATTCAGAAAAAAGCTGTGGTAAAAGTAACTAACTACACTTAGCAGAATACTGAAGTTAATTTACTTGAGTGTTTTCATTTTATGCTACTTAATACTTGTACTTCACTACAACTTCTAAAACTTTTGTTCATCCATCTATTTTTATCCGCTTATCCAGGGCCGGGTCGCAGGGGCAGCAGCCCAAGCAAAGCACCCCAGACGTCCCTCTTCCCAGAGCTTTCCAGCTCCTCCTGGGGGACCTCAAGGTGTTCCCAGACCAGTTGAGATATATAATCCCTCCAGTGTGTTCTGGGTCTGCCCCGGGGCCTCCTACCAGTGGGACGTGCCCGAAACACCTCAGGATCCTGATCAGATGCCTGAATCATCTCAGCTGACCCCAGCTTGACGCGAAGGAGCAGCGGCTCTCCTTCGAGCTCCCTCCAGATGTCTGAGCTCCTCCCCCTATCTCTCGGCTGAGCCCAGACACCATTCTGAGGAAATTCATTTTGGCTGCTTGTATCTGTGATCTTATTCTTTCGGTCACTACCCAGAGCTCATGACCATAGGTGAGGGTTGGGACATAGATGGACCAATAAATCAAAAGCTTTGCCTTCCGGCTCAGCTCCCTCTTCACCACGACAAGCTGCACCAAACCACCGATCCATCTCACGCTCACATTCTACCCTCACTCGAGAACAAGACCCTGAGATACTTGAACTCCCTCGCTTGCAGCAGTAACTCTCTCCCAATCCAGAGGACCTAATCCACCATTTTCCAGCAGAGAACCATGACCTCAGATTTGGAGGACTCTCATCCTGACCACTTCACACTCGGCTGCACACCACTGCAGTGCATGCTGGAGGTCACGGTGTGATGAAGCCAACAGAACCACATCATCTGCAAAAAGCAGACGTGCAATTCTGAAGTCCCCAAACCGGACCCCTTCCTCCCCCCGGCTGTGCCTTGAGATCCTGTCCATGAAGATCACAAACAGAATCGGCGACATGGGACAACCCTGGCTGAGTCCGACACCCTTTTACTTGAGTAACATTTATGCAGTACTTTTATTTGTAACAGAATATTTCTTTTTACTTAAGTAAATAAGTACTTCAGTCAGTCAATAAGAACATTGATACTTACAGCTGGTGTTTGTCGGACATCACTGTGAATCCCCACCTGCAGATAATATAAATATTCACTTTAAGACACAGATGATTTTATTGACATCGCTGCTGACCTTTGACCCCTGAGAACCCCTCCACAGACATTTCATGATAATCATAGTAATAATAATAATAATAGCATTAATACCGTATCTGTAGAACAGAGCATGTCTTTGTGTGTGAGCTGAGCGTTTGGTGTCGAGCTCAGCGTCATGTTACCTGCTCGGAGCTTTCAGTTTCCTGCGGATGCCGATGTAGATCTTCATGGACTTCAGAGACCACTCCTTCTCTGGTTTGATGCTCTGAACAAAGACACAGACCAGTCAGGACACTGGAAGTGCTTATTGGTTGTCAGAGAAAAACCAGTTGTCACTGAGTGTTACCTTCTTGTCTTTGAGCAGCAGCAGTTTGTGGTTTATGATCTGGAACGTTCGCTCCTGGAATTTGTTCCCCTGCAGGAGCTTCGGAGGTTCCTCACGACACTTCAGCAGACCAACCTTCATGATCTCACTCTTATAGGCTGAACAGACAGACAGACAGACAGACAGACACATTTTTTAACACTGTCAGCTCTCTCTGTGTTCAGTGTGTTGTGTGTTGGACCTACAGGTGAGGATGTTGATGCCTTCTCCTTTAGGAACTCTCTTCACCACCAGGTAGGCCGAGCTCGGGTCGGCCATCTTGCACCACTGCAGAGCCTGCTCCAGAACTTTCTCTTTGGGATGTAACGGACGCTCTGACACACAAAGAACAACAACTGTCAGGTAACACATCCCACACACTCTGCACTCAGATCAGGGGCCAGATGGATAAAAATATGTGTGTGCGTACGTGAATGTGTACGTTACTGGGCTTGTAACAATAATAACTTTATTTGTATAGGACACTTCATACAGCAAGTGCAACTCAAAGTGCTTTTTTGGCCAACAGGCAGTGCTTGATCTACTATCTCGAACATACCCTGCTCCAGAGGAGGTAAGGTGTTACCATAGCGATGTATCCCAGTAAGAAGTGAAACACTGTCGTAATCTGAAAACCCAGGATTATTGTCTCACCCAGCTGTCCGTCCTCGATGGCCTCAAACGTCATCCACACGTCTTTGTCTCCGGCCGGGACATTCCTCATAAACAGAACCTGATTGGTCAGCTCCTCAGCACACATGGTGGGAGACACCTGCAGGTCACATCATGTTATAACAGGCTGAAGACGTCCCGCAGTGTCAGGATTATAATGAGCAACGTATCTTACTACGTGTTTCTCCTCACTGACTTGGTCAATCCATGTGAAATTTGGCACAGTGGTAGAGGGTCATGGGAGGATGCCAATGAAGCAATATTACATCAATTGGCCAAAGGGGGGCGCTATAGCAACCGATTAAAATTGCAAACTTTGAATGGGCATATCTCATGCCCCGTATGTTGTAGAGACATGAAACTTTGCACAGAGATGCCTCTCCTCATGAGGAACACATTTGCCTCAAGAACCCATAACTTCCGCTTATATAGATCTTCCGCCATTTTGAATTTTTTGAAAAACACTTCAAATGGATCTCTTCCTAGGAAGTTTGAGCGATCTGCATCTGAAACTGGGTGAACATAATCTAGGGACCAATATCTAAAGTTCCCTCTTGGCAAAAGTTGGAAAACTTACTAAAACTGAGCTTCTATAAGGCAATGAATATTGTGGAGGGCGTGGCTCATCACATAAAGGTGTATAACATCTCAAGGGTTTCACCCATCACCACGCAACTTTGTAGGCATATGACCACACATAATCTGAGGGGACCCCTCCATTATTGACCCCATCAAACAAAATGGGGGCGCTAGAGAGCTCATTTCTTATCTAGGCCTAACTGCCATATGGATTTTTACTAAACTTGGTAGATATGTAGAACAGGACGCCTCAAGGTGACTGGAGAAATTTAACTCTAATTGGCAACTGGGTGGCGCTATAACAACAGAAAAATGATTCAAAATGGCTAAAATGCAACCGATCACTGTGGCTCCCCCTGTGGACCAATGTTTTTGCTTTTCTAATTTTTGGTATCACTAAGTCATGGTATGGTATGCTGTACATAATCACGGAAACTGTCAGTGTGTCATTCTGTCTGTCAGTCATTCTGTCTGTCCCACGTTTTTCTACTCACTGACGTGGTCAATCTATGTGAAACTGCACACAGGCATTGAGGACTGGCATAGGTAGAAGGTGACAAAGCTACCAATGGGTATGGACTAGTCAATACTGATAATCAATATTCAGACTCACCTTGAGAGTGATGCAGCAGTCTGGTATCTTCATCTCCAGATAGACTTCGATGATCAGATCACCGGCCTGAGACAGCTACACACACACACACACACACACACCAGCTTATTAACAGTGTATTACTAACCTACTAGTGACTTATTACCAAGTTATTATCAACTTACTTCCAATTTTTTAGTGAATTATAAAAACATAATTATCAACTTTTATCAGCTTACTACTTCACTTTCTTACTAACTTATTACCAACTTAATATTAACATATTATTAATCATTAACTGATTACCTTACTAACTTAATAGCTTATTATATTTATTAGGACCTCATTACTGACATTTTTCAGACCAGAATTAAGTAAATTTAGTAACTGAAAGCTGTCGGTCCACCGAACCGATTTTGTGATATTTGTGTATTAAATAATAATGGGTTCTTATATAGAGTGTGCGTGTGTATTTGTGTGTGTGTGTGTGTGTGTGTGTGTTTAGTGAAACAGGATACCTGAGTGTCCTTCCAGGTGGTGATGAGGCTGATTTCCAGCTCGATCTGAGTCTGATGCTCCTCGTCGATCTGAAACAGGGTCAGAAGTTCACTGAGCTCAGTTTTTACAACACAAAGGAAAATGAGTCAACGTCCTCTCTGAGCTGTACTCACATCAAAGACATACAGGTAGTTGTCTATCAGATCCTCTACGATCTTCACCTCGTGCTCTCCTTTCCCGTCAGTCTGGAACAGACTGGGAGCGAACAGCAGCGACAGGTTCTTTGTGCACATCTGGTTCAGATCGGCACACTTCTGGACTCTGACACAGAGGAAGGAAATACAATCATTTAAAAACAACAGCAGCTATTATTACCTCTGCTACTGACAACACCACTGCTGGTACCAGAGCTGCAGGTGTGTCAGTGTGAGCTCACCTGAACAGGTGACTGATGAGAGCGGCCAGAGTGGTCCTGTTGACTCGAGGAAGACTCCGGATGATCTCTTTGTAGCGGTCCAACCTCTGACTCTTCTGAGAGATTTCTGAGGGTAAAAACAGAACAGACTTTAAATTTGGAGATGCTCAATATTAAATGACTCGGATCGAGGCAAAAAGAACTTGATTGGTGCATCTCTAACATCTTCAGTTCCCCATCTTTATTCTCGTCAAAGCCACCAGATTACACTGACAAAACCAGTCATTTTATTTCACAGAACACAGGAGGTTGTGGTCTCGTATTGACTTTTTGTTTGCAGGGTTTTGTTGCATCTGTAGTTTGAGTGTAGATGTCTCCAGCTCTCCGCTGCCTGCGGTGAAACACCACGTGCCGGAGACGACAGCAAAATGCAAGAGGTTCTCACACTGAGCTGAAACAAGTGCTCGTCACTTCAGTAAATGACAAAAATAAACAGTCTCATACAGTGTTTTGCTGTCATTTATGGCGTGTGGAGTTTCTCCACAGAAGGGGAGTGAAGGAGAGATGGAGTGCTGGAGAGTGAATGACATTTGCACTCGTTAAGCCTGATTTATGGTCCTGCGGCGTACCTAGAACGTTGCCATGACGCTGTCGTGAACCCTTCGAACTTCTCCGTCACTCCATTTCGTCGCGGTGCAATTCACCGCCAGAGCAGTAGGGGGCTGCGTTCCTTTCCTGAATGGTTATCGTCGTCTCTAGTTGATTCTTTGTTTAGCTTCCGGCTTCTCCGGTCACAGTGAACAATGGCGACAGAGAGAGAGAGAATCTTGCTGGAGTTGGAGTTGTTGGATGTCGAAGAAAGTATGTTAATACTGCAACATCTACATTGCAACAGAAGATGTTTAAAGACAGCGAGGATGGCGCAATCTGGAAATACGGAACCGGAAATACGTTGCTACCAAGCAAACCAATCACAGCCCTCTCGGTCTGCATTGGGTCTGCGTCGCCTCGACATGTAGTTACATTTTTTGGGAGGTGCACGTCAGGCTACGCCGGGGGCTACGGCGAGCCTCCTGCGTAGCCACGTCGTTGCTTTAACGCAGGACCATAAATCAGGCTTTACTGTGAGTCGCTGTGCATGAACCTTGTCAGTAAAAACACCTGTGCATTAGCTGATAGGGCTCTATATTGTTCAATAACTGCTTTTAACTCTTGTTTTAACTTATTTTTTCTTTTCTTGCTGTTGTAGCACTTTGAGATTTTTCGTTAAATATAAAGTGCGTTACAAATAAAATTTATTATTATTATTATTATTATTATTATTATTATTGTTAAAGACTTGATCGGGTCTAATGCCAATCTTTGAGATCGGATCAGGACATCCCTGACATCAACTCTTTTCTAAGGTAAATTGGACTCACTGGCGGCCCCCTGCCACAGTGGGTGGAGCTCGGCCATGAAGATGGGGTCCTCGATCTCCCTGAAGAACCTCTTTAGGACGTCCGTCACGTCCTCAATGAAGTGGTCTCCGATCCGCAGTTTGACGTTCCGAGCGTCTTTACGAAACTCTTCCATTAGGAGTTTGATTCTGGATTTGGCGCCGTTCTTCCTGTAGATCCCCTCTTGGCCCAGACCTACAGAGAGCATGCCCAGAACGTCACTAACTAAACTAGACCTAAGAGAGGATGAAAAGCTTCGCAGAGCTGCAGCGATGATTCTTTTTGATTTAATGTTCAGATCATGATTTTTTTTTTCTTCCTCACCATACTGAGTGATGAAGGCGATGCAGCTGTCCACGATGATCGGGATGTCATTTCTGCTCAGCTGCTGCTCCCTCAGAGTGTTTCCTTTACCGCCGGCCGCTCGCTGGATGTCAGAGTACCACAGAGAGAAATCTGTGCGGCCGACACCCTGCAGGTGGACGGTCCTGACGGAGAGAAGAAGCAAAACAATGAAGACAAACAAAAATAAATCAAGTTCAAACAATCTGGCGTCCAACAGCGACACTTCTTATCTCACCTTCCTTTTTCTACTAAGACCAGGATGTCTTTCTTCTCGTGGTTCTCGGTCTCAGAGGTGATACCTGCAACACAAACACAGACAGTTTTGTTTAAATCAGACAGGGTGGATCGATCAGACGTGGTGTGTTTGTAGACAAGAACTGACTGAGCTCCTGCAGACGGTTCAGGTTGATGATGTCCTCTGCTGCTCCATCGTTTCGGGGACAGATAAAGAGGTTGGACTTCTGCAGGACGAAGTACGCCTCCTTCCACTGCTGAGGGTCCAACATGGCTCTGTACCGCAGCAGACCGACCCGCTCAAACTCCCGAGTCAGCAGGCAGTGACAGCTGAGGGGGGTCGCAGCCTGGAGGGGACGGACAGGACGGTTAGTAACAACCAAAAACATCACATCTCACAGGACAGTTAAGTAAAACAGGGGGACAGCCTAAGAGTTTCAGACCTTCCCGATGGATTTGGTCCAGCTGTGCAGAGCGTCGGCCGTCTCCAAGCCAAACTGATAAAGTTTCTCTGAAGTCAAATACAACTCGAAGGTGTAACGAAACCTGGAGAGGAGGACAGACACAGAGACAGAGGCTGTGTCTCCATGTGGACATGAAGTTTAACACTGCTGAACGTCAAGTAGAAGATAAAGTGCATACCTGTCGATGAAGCCGTTGTTGTTGTTGGAGGAGTCGGGTCGACTGACGCCCAAACACACGATGTCTTTAACGCTGATCTGCATGCAGGGATCAGCTGATCGGTCTGACTCGTAGAAAAGCAGAGACTGATCCACTGAGCACCAGAACTTCTGGAAGTCTGACGACAAGACGAGGAGACATTTGGGCATATTTTATTTTACAGGTTTTATTAAACTGCTCCTTTTTTCATTACATTTGCATAACTGTAGTTCTGTTAGAGGTGGCAGAGGAGCTGGAGCCTATCCCAGCTGACACTGGGTGAGAGGCAGGGTTCACCCTGGACAGGTCACCAGACTATCACAGGACTGACACATAGAGACAGACAACCATTCACACTCACATTCACACCTACGGACAATTTAGAGTCACCAATTAACCTGCATGTCTTTGGACTGTGGGAGGAAGCTGGAGCACCTGGAGGAAACCCACTCTGACACAGGGAGAACATGCAAACTCTGCACAGATGGGCTCATCCTGGGGTTCAAACCAGGAACCCTCTTGCTGTGAGGCAACAATGCTAACCACTGTACCACTGTGCCGCTCACTAAACTGCTCCTGTATCACTGAAATGTAGAAAGTGTTTATCATATTTTATTTGAGTTAACTGCACATTTTAGAGATGCATGATAGTATCATTACGTTATTGGCAGATAAAAGCTTTAAAATTAAAGATCAGCATCAGCCTGAAATGAACATTTCTGCCAATATAGGTAAGACTAAATTCATGCCCAAACGTTTGATACACACACGGACATGGACAAAGCCTTCTGTCTATACTCTGCTTTCATGTCGTCCATATTTGTACATGGTTTGTTAAAGCTTACAGACACAGATGAAATGGAGCAGTACCTCTGGAAATAATGGAGGCAGTGTAGCGTAGTTCAAGCAAGACGCGACCGCAGGAGACGACAAAGACTTCTTAAGAAATATGGTGAAAAAAATTCTCCATCCACATGTCGCGATTTATTTAATGACCTCACAGACTATCGCCATCGACAACGCTGCCTCCGTTAAAAGGTACATTATTATGACCTCCTCCGCTGTCGCCATGTTTGTTGTTGTCACAGACTTTTGTCTCTGTCCGCATGGAAGTATGTGAGCAGTGACAGTTTTGAAAAGCATTGTATTTTATGTCTTCATCTGACAGCTCGGCATTACGACACAAGAATGCAAACTATTTTACTTGCACTACAGGAGAGATTCCTGTCGTGGATTCCTTCTCTGCAACTAGGTGGGAAGAAAATATGTGTATACATCTGCATGTATGAAAGGTACCAGCATATAGGCAAAAATCTAGTATCCTGTATCCCCCACACATTTTTCTGTCCAATGAAGTTTCTTTGTCCTTTCTTTTTTAACTTTTTTTAACCCCTGCACCACCCCTCTCCCTTCCTCTTCCCACCTTCTCGAGTCTTCCTGGACAGCGTCCCTCTGTGGACGGAGCCGGACTTGTAGAGGAAACCAGAGTGAAGGACAGGCTGCATGATCTCATCGTACACACTGGGATCTGAAGGGAGAACAGAGGAATATTTCAGCCGCAGCATCAAATCAATAAACCACACACACACACACAAAGACACGTGGTTTGATTGTCCAGATAATAGACTTTGTTGTTCATTCTCGTCCTCATCGTAGTTCTGCCTCTGTGCTCACGTGCTGACCTGGTCAGTCAGTAGAATAAATGTCTGTGTCAGTCGGAGTTTCTCTGCTAAGTGAAGCAAACTGTAACGAGATAAAAGCCTCCCTGCAGGAACACAGCTGATAACACAGCAGCTGCATCAAACAGGAGCCACCTCAGCTGACCTGGAGTCTGCCTCCACACACACCACTGACCTTCATAAACCTGAGAGCTCTGTTTTCACAGCATAGAAATAAAACTGTTGTCTCCATGATGTCAGTTTATACTCTGAAAGATGGCCTGAACTCAGATCAGTTACTGTAAATTTTAACATTAAAAGAAGTACAGCTCAGAGACCAGTAGAAACCAACAGAGTACAGTAGAAAACAGACCTGAAGCGATGCAGCGATCCAGGAGCGGATTATGTCGTTGGCAGTCGTTGGAGTCGTCTGCAAGGCGAGCTGACTCCGCCTCCGAGAAAATGTGAGTGACAGTTTTCAGAAGAGTCTGTTCAGAGACGGCCGAGCACAAGACCTGGAGACGAGAGGAGACACAGAGAGACAGACAGTCAGGAAGAGAGACCCACTGTCTGTGAATGCAGCACATGAAGCCGTTCATCAGCTGATTTATTTACATGATTCTCACACTTTTAGTTTTTGTTGCTGAATTCACATGTTGTCGGCCAATAAGAGCCTGAGCTCAGTAAATGTGACAGACGGACAAACAGAGAGCAGACATGTCGGAGTAAAAACACTCAGTCCTTCTTTGAGCCTCCAGCTGCTTTTATCTTTTCTTTCCTTTGTCCCCGCTGACGCCCCAGTGCACTCTGGGAAAAGCTTCCATCCAAATATTATGTGCAGGTTTTAAACAAAAAGTCATCAAAGTCAGATCTCATCAGTGTTTCTGAATATTGTTCAGAAAATAACATTTAAGAGCAGAAACATTTTCCAAAGGTTCACGGCAAACAAGAAATAAGAAGTTAAATGCAGTAAGAGTAAATTTAAATTTGACAACATGAGCACTCAGAGTCACAGAGAGCAGAGCGACATTAAAACCTCTCTGATCCTCACTGACCTCAGGTCAGCTTTTATGTTTTAACTGAAACCCTTGAAGCTACTGGAGCTCTCAGAGACTCACTCTGTTTCTTCAACAAAAAAACCTTCTGTTCTGAACTCAGAGCTGCTGAAGAAAACCTCTCCTGTTGTTATCATTATTATTATTAGTAGTAGTAGTAGCCTGTAATCAAAATCAAGGAATAAATACTGGTGTCCATGTGAGAAAAAAAAAAGGTTTGATGATTTTGGTTCATGTGACTTTCAGGTATTGAAATCTTAAATCTTTTCGTGGTTTGGACTCTGTGTACAGACGGACTGTGGTGTTTCTGCCCCTCTGATGTTGTGTGAGGTAGGAAGTGTCATTCTGACCTTGAGCAGCTCCTCCTGGCTGCTGAACGCTGGGTGGGGGAGTCGATATCGCCCCTCTCTGTATTTCTGGGTGATGAAGTCTCGTCTCTGCTCGGGGGAGGCGTCACGGTCCAACTCCTCCGACACAGACAGCCGAGCCCCCCAGAATTCATTGGCACGGTCATTCCCCAGCATGATGAACAGCTGGTGCACACAAACAAACAAATAAACAAACAAAAACAGAGTGTTTGATCTGAAAGATGTTGCTCCAGATCTCTTATCATTCTCAGAGGACAAGAGTTACGTATGTAACTACAGTTCTATAAACTCTGGGTGACCACACTGCGCCGAGGCCGGGTGGTTTAGAGTGTAAACTAAAACTGGAACTAAATCAAAACAATATATTTTAAGAAAAACGAAAAATAAACTGAAACTATAGAGCTTGATTAAAAAATAATCTATTTTATCTTTTTTTTTTTTTTTTTTTTTTTTAACTATGCCGTATTACTACGAAAAGAAGGAGACAGCAGGAATGTCCGTCAACTCTCATGACGCTGAACCACAGACATTAAACAGACTTAACATCTCATCTCGCTCTGTTGCAATGGCTTCACAAATAATCCCTACTGTTTTTCACATGCAGTCTGGTCTTGTAGAATCAAATAACTAGAATATAATTTATATACTGTAGTAGATCAAATGCCATGTAACCAGCTATTCAGCTCAGGTCTGATGTTAACCAGCTGGAGTCTGGATTAAACTGCAGGTGACAAGTTTGATCCCCAAATCAAAAGATTTATACATTAAGGCCACTCCTACACAGATCTCCATATTCCTGAAAAATTGAAGCCAAACTAAAAATAGCAAACGCACTCTGACAACAACCTAAAACTGAACTAAAATGAAACCCAAAAATCAAAAATAAAATAAAATCAAAACTAACTGAAATTCTAACTGTTACAAATTTGATTCAGCGCAGTTCTGGTCTCACCTGGACGATCTCGTTGCTCCACACGCTGGTGTCCAGTTTGAGACTCTGAACTTTAGAGACCATCGTCCCCAGACCTCTGTGCTGCCCTGCAAAGACACACACACACACACACACACACACACACACACACAGGTGAACAAACAGTGGAGGACAGTGTGTCCCTGTAGGCTGAGATGGTCGACATGACAGCTCCCCAAACGTGAAACATCAAATACATTTTTCCCAGAGATGGTTTCTGTCACTTTATGTAGTTCTTCTCACCCTGATATTTGTTCAATGTTTGTGGGATGTGACTTCATTACTGACAGCTGTGTGAGCCAATCAGTGTGCTCACAAACAGTGGCGCTGCTCAAGCTTGGTTGGGCAGTTGTTGATCACTATTGTGCAGACTCTGGCTCCAAATGAGTGTTGGAGGAAGCCGGAGAAAACCCACACAGACACAGGGAGATCAGCTCAACACAGAAGGGCCCCAGCCAGTCGGCAGCGTTAAACCCAAAACCCTCTCGCTGTGAGGCGACCCTGCTAACGACTGCACTGCTGGGCAACCCACGTTTTTTGTTTTCATTCTAAGCAAATTCCTTGTATGTGAAAACTACGTGGCAACAAACCAGATTCTGATTCTGACAAGACGCCTCTCTGTTTGTCACGTCTACACGTCAGGTTCAGTGAAGTTCTGTCATCCACCAGAGGATGACATCACTCACACTGTCCAATGAGTGAGTGACATGTCAGAACATGTTCGGCAGCTTTTTGTTGCTGAAATAAAAACTCTCCATGAATGTGGCAGCGAACATGAACGTGAACGCCAGAGTTCAGTTTCAGGTGAGACAGAAACTTACAGACTGATGATAGGCTGCGGGTGACAGGAGGAACACTGAGACACCTGGATGACAGCATGGTGACACACACACACACACACACACACACACACACACACACACTCCCCACAATGCAGTTGAACCAGCACAGCGACAGTTTTACCTGCAGTGATTCATGTCTTCACAGGTTGACACACTCAGAGTAGAAGTTGTGAAAGTGTGTGAACAGCATGAACACACTCTGAGTTTACATTATGATCAGGGTGATCAGGGGTTGTGGGAGGATATTAGAGTGTTCCATGTGGTTATTAGGACAGCTGAATGTTGCTCACCAATCACATTAATTAGGCTAATCCAACATCATCAACATCAGAAAGACAAACTTGGATCTGATCTAATCGTACCTCCATAGTTTACTTTATAAAAGTCTACTCTAACTCTTGAGTCTGAGTCCCAGGTACCTGCACAGTTCTTGCAGATGACCACACACAGGTTGATGGAGGCCCAGTCGGGGTTCAGGGCCTTGCAGTCGGCACACATCCTGTTGGATCGGTTGGACCAGATCTTCTCGGCCACCTCGTAGTCCGACAGAGTCTCTGCGATGGCCTCCTGCAGCGCCTCCATCCAGTCCCGCTTGTCCCGCTCCGACTCTGCCGTGAAGCTGAGAAGACGGAGCAGAGGCTTGTTGGCAGGTCGCCACGGCAACGGCATTTTGAAAAGCAGAAACCACACTTTTTTTTTAAGCCTGCTAACTAACTTCAGTTTTGAGTGTTTAGATCGACACAGAATCCGTGCTGGTCCCAGCAGCAGCAGAGTGAAGTGACTTCGATTGTTCTAACAGCAGCTGTGAGTCGACGCGCTGCAGAGCTGCAGGGAATTAACTGTAAGGAGCTTTTTCTCATTCAGTGACCTGGTTTTTGGGACCAAATGGCACAGCCTGGCAGAGGTTGGCAGAGGGGACGAACATTTTGTTCCCAGTTTCATCTACAGAGCTGGAAGCTAAAGATCTGAACATGAAGCATCCCAGAACTGCTCAAAGCTGCTCTGCTGCAGGATGGACACGTCCTCGAAAAATACATTTTTATTATTAAACCTTTTCTCCTCTGAGGTGCAGAAACTGTTTACTGTGTTAGTGACAGAGGGGCCGGTGGTGCAGTGATACCTGAAGGTTTTGTACGGCGTGATGAGGTCGAAGCTCTTGTGTTTCCCGTCTCTGATTGTCGATCCTCGAGCTTCGATCACCGTGATGCCGATTCCGTTACGAAAGCACTGCAGACACACAAGTTAGGGACACACATGAGGAAAGTTCAACAACCTGCACACTGAGCTGCTGCTGTGTTGCTGCTCTTTGGGCTCCTGATGAAACAATAAACAAGTTGGGACAAAGTCACTCAAACTCTTATAAAACCTGTCTGCAGCTGAACTTTACTGCTCCTGTTTGGAGCGTGTCGGAGCTGACTGACTGACGGACTGAGAGCGAGAGCCGCACAACAACTTTAACATAAATGAGTGTCATCATCTTAAAAGACGACAAAATCAGACTTGCAACTTTTTAGTTTTGAGAAAAGACTGTTCAACGTCAGTAACACACATAAGGACTTTATAATTTGTATATTTCAGCAGTGTAATATTAGAGTGTCCCACCCGTCGGCGCTCTCACCTGTTCGCTCTTGTAGATCCAGATCTGCTCCGTGTTGATGGCGGCGTACACTTTGGACTTGGTTCCCTTCAGCTCGAGGACTCCGTGTCTCTGACAGTGAGATCCGGGACCGAAGCGCCGCCGACCGAACACCAGCTGATCTCTGACGTGTTCCTGCATCGTGCCGACCCACCGCCGCCTCAGCACTGAGATACAGGTATCACCATCATCATCATCATCATCATCATCATCATCACATCACATGCTGTACTTCACACACATTACTGCCTCTTCCTCTCACATTTATCCCAGTGTTCTCAGCTGTGATTAGGAGTTTTTTTCACTGGAAACACGATGAACCAGAAGAGAAATATTACACTTTTAAGAACAGACATACATCACAGTGTCTGGACATCAACCTTTTAAGAAACTTTAGCTGCATTTCATCAACCAGTGACTCAGTTTCTGTGCCCCAAAATCATCCTCTGCTCTCAGGGGGGAGTATCTTTTAAGGTTCAGTAACTTTCAGAGTGTTTAGTTTCATTTACTCAGGAAGTGACATGAGTAGGGTTACAGATCAACAGAAACATGTCCGCAGCAGCTTCTCATGATTATCAGTCTGACATCAGATCAGATCAGCTGGAGATAATTCAGTAATGGATGAGAATGTAAACACATGTCTGCTGCCCTGTAACTCAGTGTCACTTTGCTGTCATGTCAAGTGTTTTCTTCTCCTACCTTCATTATCGGCCCTGAAAACAAAAATCCTGTGACTTGTCACGATTTCAAATTTGTTGTCTTTGGCTGGGCGGGCCATCTGGATGGCAGCCAATGGGATCACTCCTTTAGGGTAGACGTCCTGAAACAGAAAGGTTTCAAATGGTCTAAATCAGAGCAGTCAGAGCGGTTTTATCTGCAGTGATGTGACGCATTTCTGACTGAGTTTAAATTGATCAGTCGCCATATTTGACTGGATTTTTAAAAATGGGCGTGGCTTATCGAATACAGAGAGATACAAAGATGTGGAGGACTGTTGACCTCCTCACACACCTCCACCACCCAGGTTGTTAGATCAGAAGAAATAATAAATTGGACTTCAATGACGCTCTCTGAAAGTGTAAACAAATATCACTGGACTACAGCTGGCTGTAGCAATGAGAGTTTAAACATTGATAAACTCAGAAACGATTCTTTAACATTGATTTAGGTCACTATTAGAGATGTGTTTGCACTTTGACATTAAAGACAAATAATCAAACTACAGTAAATCCGCTTTGATTAAATGCTGTAAAACACTGAACCATAAACACTTACAACAATAGATAACTGAGGAGTTCAGAGGATAACAACTATGAAACAATGATAGTTAAAAAAATACACCTTGGACAGTTGTCTTCTCTCATTTCCTTTGTTTTGTAGATATATTTCTATTATTATACATCTCTGACTGTTCTTCGTACCTTATCACTGCCAAAGTACATCAGGTTTTTGCCATCAAACTTCACGTAGCGCTTCTGGAAAACATAATTCCTGAAAAATAAAAACACACATCAGATCCAGAGACAGATCCAGAGAGGGTCACATGATCACATTCATAACAAAGACACAAAGACACATCACAACTGTGGTAAACAAAATTCAGAAGGAGACTACTGGTTTATAGTGACATCAGACCGGCGTACTTTACACTCTAAAACACTGAATCCTACAAAGTTTTGACATTTAAATATTCTGGATGTTTAAATATGGAGCTTCATCAGAAAACACTGGCGTCTTTCAGCTGAGTCAAAATGAAAATATTTGTTTTACAAATTTTCATGAAACACCAAAACTCTCACCAAAGAACCACTGAAGAACTTTCTTATCAGTATTAACAGGAAAGGAAGAAAAGACAACCACACACCGAGCAGAGGATGAAGAACAAGAGGAAGAGGAGGAGTAGAGGAAGGTGACAAGGCAGAGGCAGCCCCTCAGGAGGGGGGAGACACAGGGAGGAGCAGAGAAGAGGACATGCAGCACGACAGCCAGCGCTGACCTCTGACCCCTGACACACATACACACACACACACACACACACACACAGAAACACAGAGACACAAAGAACAGGAAGGTGTGTGACACTAGTGTATTCTGAATCGACTGCTGTGATTGGTCAGGTGAGAACACGGAGATCTTGGAGCTCCTCAGACTTCGCATTCCTTCCTCTTGTTCCCACACACACACATCTTCACTCTTTATTAGCCTACACATGCTAACACATACATAAGCTACATCTTAATTCACTCAAGGATGTTACACCCTCCTCAGAATCCTCTCAAACCTCCCCAAGCACCCCTGAATCTCCCAAAGGACTCTAAGACACCCTTAAAAACCTCTGGAACAACTTTAGGAACCCCAGGAACTTGTTAGAGGGCTGCTGGTACCTCTTCGAGGACCTCTGAAAGCTCTTCAAGGACCTCTGGTACATCTTCAAGAGCGTCTAAAACCTCTTCAAGCAATATTCAGACTCTAAACTAAATGAATACCAGCGATGAGAGAATCCTGGTTCTTTCTGGTTTAACCAGCTGTATAAATCAAACACACCCCTCTGGTTTTCTTTCCCCTGGAATAACTAACTGTGTAAATCAAATTCACCCCTGGTACAACCAGGTGTGTAAAACAAATGCCCCCTTATGGTTTTGTTGTCATTGGTCGAACCAGGTGTTTAAATTAAACACAACCTGGTTTTCTTCTCTCTGGTCTAACATATCATTAAATGTGCCCCTGGTCTAACCAGCTGTAAATCTAATGCACCAGGTGTGTAAATCAAACCCATCTCTGCGTTTTTGTTTTCTCTGGTTTAACCAGGTGTCTAAATCAAACGCACCCCTGTGGAGACAGCTTGTCCAGCCAGCCGCTGATGATGGGCGGGGCTCTCTCAGTCAGGGAGGTGTAGCTGGCGTAGGGGGAGATGGTCAGGTCCTCATCAGCGTCTGCGGGGAAAGTGTGGTTGGGCAGTGAGAGGTAGCGGACGGGAGGTGGAGGTTCTCCGACGGTGCTGTAACCCTGAGAGTCTCCGGAGTGAAGAGCCTGAGACAAACGCTTCGTCCAGGAGAACTTCTGACACCTGAAGTACAAATACAACATTATTTATACAGCTCAGAAGAGATCAGTCTGGTTGTCAGACTCATCCTGTATTCTGTGGACATATTTTTACTTTTTGTAATCAGCAGAAATAAAATAATAGCTTGTCTCTTTGTCCTTGTAATGTGATTTAAACATTTCAGTTCATTGTCACTTTTTATATTTTGATGGCTACATTTTACATTCGCAAATACAAATTTGATAAATTCTCCCTAGCTGTACTGTAGCTTTCAATCGAATGTTTCTCAACTGATTTTTCACAGGTCAAAAACAAATTTAAAACCTAAGTACCAACTTAGCTTTGTCTTCTTTCAACACAACTTTAAGTTAAGAGTTGAGACTGTAACATATTTAACACAGACTGTCTTTATGAAGTCTATTTTAAAAGAAGATCTAAAAAATAAAAGTGGGCCGAGTGTAAAACCTTGGGGAACTCCAGAGAGCTGACAATATGCAGATGATTCAGTTTTATACTTTTGTCTTACAAATATCAATCTGTTTTTAATAGTTTGCAGCCGCAGCTCATTTAACTGAAGCTTGTGTTCAATGCAGACAACAGTAGTCTTTGTTATTTTGTGATGAAAGTGCCTTACTGCCTTCCATTAATCAGAATTAAGTCATGTTAACCCTTTGTTTTTGTTAATGCAAATCACATTTATTTCTTTTCATGAATGTATTGTTTAACTTTGTGTTTGTCTGACTTTATCTTTTATGTTTGTATTTCCTGGTTTTATGTAATGTCATGTAAAGCTATTTTGATGTTGTCATACCGTTTTGAATATTTGGCCACACAAAGCTAAAATAAACCTCACAGAGTTGCTGATGGCTTACCCATGATCCTCTGCATGTTTGTCCTCCCCCTTCCTCATGTCTCTCTCATCCAGTCTGCTCCTTTCACTCTGCAGGATGAAATTTTAACTGAGCACATTTATATCATCACAGACTGGAGATGTTACAAGTTTAATCCCAACAACCGCTGGATTTGTGATCATCAAGGAGCTGATTGCTGTTTATTAATATCTTTGTGCCACAGATATAAAGAAGAAAGAAGGAGAAGACAGGGAACAACAGATGGATCTTTACTAGGTTTGCCTTTGTGCTGCTGTCTCACCTCACATATGTGTGGATTTCTTCTGGTTTGAAAAACAGTTTCACAGTACGGGCTGATCTCCTCCTCAGGGTCGTCTGTTGAAGCTGTTGAACAGAAAACTCGAGTTAATATTCTACTGAAGCATGGATGGTAACGTAAACCCGAACCCAGCCAGCGTGACCAGTGTTTGCCTTTTAAACCACATAAACACAAACATTATCTTTTGTGTTCAAATCTGAAGCGCTGCAAATCCTCACATAGTGTGTTCAAGCCAAAAAAAAGTCCACGAAAGCGGGACAAAATAAACAGGATCCAGAATTAAATGGTTGTTTCTGTAATTTCAAGGCAGATTTTTAGTAAAATCAATCTTGCAGTAAACATACATCATGTTTTCATAAGTAATCAAGAGTCTGGTCTGCACTCACCTCTGGCTGATCCTGAAGAGTTGTTACTTAAAGTGCTGCCACTGAAAACACACACAGACAAACAAAAAATAAGCTATCAATCAATAATTGATTTAAAGACACACTCCAGTGATTCAGTGTGTCACTGAAGTAGTTGGACTTGTGAGAGACATATTACAAACAGATAGGTCAGAATCTGTGCAGCATAGGTGGTGATGTCCTGACTAGACTTGGGCGGTATCAAAGTATTCAATACGAAAAATGGGTTTAAGAATAATTTCCTTTTCTGACATTTTATGAGTTTATTAGACTAAAAAAGCTAAGAGAGCTTGTGGAACATAGTGAGCTCGCCACTCGCACGGGGGCACCAGCTGTTTGTCTTTTGTTTGTTTTACACAAATACGTCATGTAACACCAATACCTTATCCTGACTTCTAGTCTGGATTATATATTTTATCTAGGCTGGCAACATATGTGGAATCTGGTGAAGGCCAAAAGATGAATTAAGCTGATCTGATCCAGAAAACTTGTCCAACTCAGCGTCAGAATGGTTTAGGACAACAAGGTTTCTGATGGTGTTCGAAGATCCAGCTATCACTTCATTTCTAACATACTGACCCCCTTAGCTTTATGCATTCACGACCTGGACCCACATAAGCAGCAGAAAATGCATGAATGAATAGAATTGTTTGGTCCACTATTGCCTGTATGAAGCTTCTGTCGATCTTTACTATTAGACTGTAATCAGTAACAATATCAGACAAGACAATTAATTATGTAGTTTTCCAACGTAACATAAGATGCTTATCAAGGCCAAAAACCAACAATGTGATTGGGATCAGACACAGAGTGCCTTATTACCAAGATGTTCACTGGTTATGGACGGTTAAGTACACGAATACGTAGGTGCGTCATTCAGAGGCCTCAGTCAGTTGGCTGATCGTAAGGTAGGTGGGATTTATTTATGCTGATTACATGGATGCATTCTGAAATAAAATCTTGGTTAGCACATCTAAAAACAAAGTAAATACACCTAGTGTGGATCCTGACCTGGAAGTCCATCAGAGTGACCTACCTATTCCTCTCTGGATGCCTCTCAGGTGTTTGTCTGGGTGGAGTCGGAGGTGCTGACTGCTGGTTGCAGTAACTCCTCCCTAAACTGGGGGCAGTAGAACTAGGTAAAGTCCCCCAGTAGATCTCATTAGAGACCATCTCCATCCCGCCACCTCTGGGTGAACCAGTCGGCGAGGATCCAGAGAGCCTGCTGTTGTCAAGACTACCAGGAGAGGAAGTCAAAGGAACCGTCTGGTTCTGCTCTGTCCGTACAGGTGAAGAAGAAGATGGTAGGGACCCCTGGAACGTGGCGGGGGGGGTCCCACGGTTCAGCCTCGGGGGAACAGGAGGTAAAAACCCTCCAGCGTCTGACAGAGACAAGCTACGACTTGGCTTCCTCCTTTCCGTCTGGTTTGGTTTTCGGCTGGGTGTGGTTGAGTTCTCGTAGAGGTCAGAGGTCAACCTGTTGTCAGGTGTGGGCGTGTCCCCTGAGGTCAAACCCTCTAACACAGTAAAACAGATGGACTCCTGGGAAAGCCTCCTGGATGGAGGCGGTGCAGGGTCTGGTGTTGGACAGAAGTGGACGGGTGTTGTCCTGCGGCGGTTGAATACAGTTCTGGGTTTTGGAACCGGCTTCACCGCAGGTCTGCTGCTGTCAGAGTTGGTCAACATGGCGCCAAGGTTTGGAACCGAACTGTTCCTGAGCGTCTCAAAGTCAATGGGTCCAGACGACTGACGCCGCGATGCAGCGCTGTGACCAGATAAAGTAATGTCTGTCACAGACTGACAGCGATCACGTGGGAGATCAGCTTTCTGATTGGCTCTTTGACTCTCTGTCCTCTGAATGTGACTGACCAATCGAAGGATTCTCTTCCTGTATCCTGTGGCGGTTATACCCAGGCTGACCAAAGCATCATTATCCAGGTGTGTGAAGTCTCTAGCCAATAGGAGACCAGCTCGACGGAAGGTGTCCTGGTACCTGCACAGAAAAAATGCAATTAAAGTCCAAGTTTGTTTTTGCTATGATGTCTCTCAAATACTTGACTGTATAATCACCATCACCTACTTCAGCAGGCGAGCAACAACAAGAGTGAAGGTAGAAAAGCGGAGCATCACTATGGTCCATCATTTTTCCACCTTTGTATGAGCTTTATTTAATATAGTTTATTTTATGGTCAGATTTAACAAACCTTTCAGAAAAATACCAAATTTCTTGCCATTGTTAAATAGCCTTCAGTAAAGGTTATTTAAACACAGCTTTAGCATACACACGGGACCCATGCTAACACATGCTAACTCCACCTATCCTCACCTATCAATGCTTTACTTTAGAATATATTGGAACGTGTATGTTGCTTAATAGGATTGGCAGCAGTGTTAATTTCATTGACGAAAAGTTTTTATCAACAACCTTTTTTCCATGACAAAAACAAGACGATGACGAGCTAACAATAGATCTTGAAAACAAAAAAACTTAGAAATACTAAGACAAAAGCTGTTTTTCATTTTCGTTGACGAAACATGACTAAAATGTTAGTGGTGGACTATCGGACTTTGAAAGCCGAGAACTGCCGTGCATGATCCGCAAATGCTGCATGAGCGACAGGCTGGTAAACTCCAGTAAATAGTCTGCACCAGGATGTTTCACTAGCCAGCAAAAACACAGAGCAGCATCAGCCATTGGTGCGAGTTGTGAGCTGTAATTCAGCAGTAAATAATTAGCCGTGTGTGTCTGACTGTGGATGGTGGAGCTGCTGAATGGATTTGTGGAGTTTGTTATTTGCAGCGGCGGCCGGCCTGCCAGTGTTGAGTGCTGCATGCTAACACTATTTCAAACAATGTGAAATTTATAATAACTACTCCATACCCATTGGTAGCTTTGTCACCTTCTACCTATGCCAATCCTCAATGCCTATGTGCAGTTTCACATAGATTGACCACGTCAGTGAGTAGAAAAACGTGGGACAGACAGAATGACTAACTTAGTAATAAGCCACTAATAAGTTAGTAATACACTGTTAATAAGCTGGTGTGTGTGTGTGTGTGTGTGTGTGTGTGTGTGTGTGTAGCTGTCTCAGGCCGGTGATCTGATCATCGAAGTCTATCTGGAGATGAAGATACCAGACTGCTGCATCACTCTCAAGGTGAGTCTGAATATTGATTATCAGTATTGACTAGTCCATAGCCATTGGTAGCTTTGTCACCTTCTACCTATGCCAGTCCTCAATGCCTATGTGCAGTTTCACATAGATTGACCACGTCAGTGAGTAGAAAAACGTGGGACAGACAGAATGACTGACTGACAGAATGACACACTGACAGTTTCCGTGATTATGTACAGCATACCATACCATGACTTAGTCATACCAAACATTAGAAAACAACACCAACATTGGTCCACAGGGGGAGCCACAGCGATCGGTCGCATTTTAGCCATTTTGAAGCATTTTTCTGTTGTTATAGCGCCACCCAGTTGCCAATTAGAGTTAAATTTCTCCAGTCACCTTGAGGCGTCCTGTTCTACATATCTACCAAGTTTAGTAAAAATCCATATGGCGGTTAGGCCTAGATAAGAAATGAGCTCTCTAGCGCCCCCATTTTGTTTGATGGGGTCAATAATGGAGGGGTCCCCTCAGATTATGTGTGGTCATATGCCTACAAAGTTGCGTGGTGATGGGTGAAACCCTTGAGATGTTATACACCTTTATGTGATGAGCCACGCCCTCCGCAATATTCATTGCCTTATAGAAGCTCAGTTTTAGTAAGTTTTCCAACTTTTGCCAAGAGGGAACTTTAGATATTGGTCCCTAGATTATGTTCACCCAGTTTCATGCAGATCGCTCAAACTTCCTAGGAAGAGATCCATTTGAAGTGTTTTTCAAAAAATTCAAAATGGCGGAAAATCTATATAAGCGGAAGTTATGGGTTCTTGAGGCAAATGTGTTCCTCATGAGGAGAGGCATCTCTGTGCAAAGTTTCATGTCTCTACCACATACGGGGCATGAGATATGCCCATTCAAAGTTTGACATTTCAATCGGTTGCTATAGCGCCCCCCTTTGGCCAATTGATGTAATATTGCTTCATTGGCATCCTCCCATGACCCTCTACCACTGTGCCAAATTTCACATGGATTGACCAAGTCAGTGAGGAGAAAAACGTGGAATAGACACACAGACACACAGAGTTTTCGTCATTATATAGTAAGATCATTAGGTATCCCTTTCACATACATTGGTACATTACATTATCAGATACTTTTTTCTGAATTCAAACTACATCAGAACAAGATTTTGATTTTATCCAAAATTGGGGGTTTATCCCTTTAAAACAAACAACTAAACCAGTGCTTCAGTACAAGTGCTTGGTGATGAAAGAAGTCTTCTTTTCTAAGTGCTAGCAAGGGTTGATCATTAACAAACACTCATTACAGTGCCATCCTTGAATCCATCCTCACCTCCTCCATCACCATGTGGTATGCCGCTGCCTCTGCCAAGAACAAGGACAGCCTGTGGTGTTCATTTGCTCTGCAGAGGGGGTGATTGACTGCAATTTACCATCCCTCCAGGACCCTGAGGCAGGCGGCAAAGATTGTGGCCAACCCCTCCCACCATGGTCACAAACTCTTTGAAACAGTCCCCTCTGGCAAAGAGGCTGCGGTCCATCGAAAACCTCCCGTCATAAAAACAGCTCCTTCTCATCTGCAGCTGAGCTCAACAACAAGGCCCAGGAATCCCACTGACGACCTCCAAGACATTTGTCTCTGTTAATTAACGCTGATCATGGACTATTATCACTATACATTGCACATTTTAACTTTTGCACATCCTGCACAAACTGTTCAGCTCTCATTGAATGTGTTTGCTATGCTAAGTGTTAGCATTGGTTTTTAGAAGTTTGTTAACTCTGACCAGACAGCTGTAATCTTTACTCCTGAATCAAAGTCACAGACCTTCATTATACAGACTTTGTGTTGTATAAGTGAACCTCTGACCTCTCTAGATGGATCGCTGCCAGAAGAGTCTCAACCGGCGTGCTTCCATCCAGCGAGGCCATGACGACCAACATGGAGTCTGGATCTGACTTGGTCTCCTCCGCATTCAGGAAACACCACGGCCATCACTGACCTACAGCAGGGACAGACGGCAGCTGTCCATCTGCAGGAGACAAGAACCAAACACAGCGGTTAGACCAAAAACACAGAAGTCTGATTGTAACAAACAAATCATGGTGAACAGCTTCTCTTCAGTCTGTGGTCAACGACCTTTGATTAGACCAAACAGTGGGCCATCATCAGGACCCTGGAGCTGACAACACTAAATGGGATGAGGCCACAACTAAGGTTATTAATTACCTGAGTTCTGTTAAAATATTTATAAAATGTGCTTCTGCAGAATGGACACAACTTCATGTGTCTGCTGCATCTAGAAAAGCTATTTTTCGTCTCTGCACTGATGAAACACGGCAGGGTGTAAAGCAGAGGAGCTTATTTATATCAGTAGTCCAAGTGTGCAGTACACAGGTCCCGCCACCATACAAGTCCCTAATTATTCATTCATTATTGTGGGGTTAAAGCCATTTTATTGCGTCGGGTGTGGCCTCTGGAATCAGCGCTGTTATGCACACGTGCCCAGTCAGCAACACAGCCTCTGATTCATTCACAGGCTCGACCCAATGCATCATGGGATAAATCCTGACAAAGCAACAACTCCTTTCAGCACAGTAGCTCAGTCCATAGGGACTCGGGTTGGGAACCGGAGGGTCGCCTGTTCAAGTCCCCGTCCGGACCAAAATATGGAGCGTGGACTGGTAGCTGGAGAGGTGCCAGTTCACCTCATGGGCACTGCCGAGGTGCCCTTGAGCAAGGCACCGAACCCCCCAACCACTCGGAGCACCTGTCATAGGCAGCCCACTCTGACATCTCTCCACTTAGACTTAAAATTAAAAACTTCCCCTCTGGGATTAATAAAGTATATAAAATTAAATTAAATTAAAAACAAATTGATAAAACATCAATGAAGACATTTAATGTTAGATTTATTAGTTTTATAAACTGTCTAAAACACTTACAAAGCTTCTTAAAGGTGTGATCGCACAGGAGCTCTCGATGAAAGGTGACGAGGCGGAGGAAATGTAAAATAAAGTTTGTAGACCACAGCTTCCCAGAGATATTTTAATACTAGGAACGCTTTAATTACATTGATCATTGATCACGCACAAACACACACATACAGCTAGATACCCGACAGCCGGGTACAAAAAAGGAGAAGAGTCCGCAAGTATGTGGTGGCACACGGCAGGAGTAGATCAGATCATGGTGGAAGTATGGTTAAAGTAACATTTACAAGAAGCACGTCACAGATGAGTTGGTGACACAACGAGCTGCAGCGCTGCAGGTACTCGACAAACCGAACCTGTTGGTGTGTTTGTGTTCATTTTCATCTCATGCAGAGGCCGTTTATTCAGTTTACAACTGGCAGATATAGGACAAAGTAAATTTTGGCCCCTGTAACCATAGCAACAGTGTGAATGCTTCAGGTCCTGTCGTTAATTATTAACTTGATGGGTTCAACAGACTACAAACACACTTCATACACTTACAGCAGATAATGGGATATAATGAAAGCTTAATGGTGAAACTCGGTTCTGTTTTTACTGCACTCAGATCTGAGATGGCATCACTGTGACCTTTGACCCCTGCAGGTCACGACCCCCCTCCCAGCCAACTAAAACCACAGAGGCAGAACAAAACATGATGTCAGCGGATGGACACAGCCGCAGGATTGTCTCCCAGCATCTGCAGCAGGATGACCTTTGACCTCTGTACAGAGGGGAGGGGGGAGGACATGAAGAGGGGACAGTCTGCTGCAGGACACCAGCAGAGATCAGCAGACTCAGAAATAGACAGACGGGCTCAGTCTAATGAAGGACACACACACACACACACACACGCAGGCTGTCATGTGCCATGTGACGAGTGTCGGGTGTCGAAGTCGGGAGTATTTTTAGAAAACTTTGAACAATGAGTGGATCTGCAGCGCTGGACAGCAACATGTCAACACGCCTTTATTTCAATGATGAATAATAAACTGAATATTTCCTCCATGACGTCTTGAACATTAATTGACATTAACTACAAACACTGAACTTTGTTACTTTGTTTTTCTTAAATAGAGTTTTATTTTAGTGGGAGAAATAATCACTAAAGGAAGTGCTGCACCTTCTTCCTGTCTGTGGCTCACAGGCTTTGTATTTCCTGCATTAATATACATTTATATCAACCTGAAATTAACTGCTGTGCTTTCTTTAGTAACTGCAGGATGATTAATCCTTTAATATGAAGCTGTTTTCAGAATAACCAGGTGTGTTTTAAGAGGGAGTAGAGCCGCTGCTCCTTCATGTCAAAAAGGGTCAGTTGAGGTGGTTCAGACATCTGATCAGGATCCTCCTGGGCGCCTCCCGTCAGAGGTATTCCGGCCACATCCCACTGGTATGAGGCCCCGGGGCAGACCCAGAACACACTGGTGGGAATACATATCTCATCTGGCCTGGGAACGGCTCGGGGTCCTCCAGGAGGAGCTGGAAAGTGTCACTGGGGAGAGGGACGTTTGGGCTGCTGTGATTGGCCTGCTGCACCCGGCCCCAGAGAAGCGGATGAAAATAGATGGATGTTTTCACTAACGTCAATATTTGTATTGCAGAGCAACGTTCCTGTGGGCTACAGCAACACTAAACCCCTGAGCTTGCCTGAGAAGGACTTAATTCCCCAAACTGCCATGAAATCGGCATCACCAAACCCACCGGATCTTACTCTTTCACAAAAAGATATATCTCTGTAGGGATCTGAGCCTGTCAGCAACAAAACAAACACTTAAAGTAGACGTAAATTGACGGATGAATATGCCACAACCTGTTAGACAGCTGCAGCGCTCTCTCTCTCAATACTGGACCGGTTTAAAAAGTTTTCTTTCCCATTACACACCTGGATAAACATAAATAAATAGGGTCCAGGTTAAAGTTACCCTTTAACAGAAAGCTGATACTTCATGATATATAATGCTATATTAATAAAAGCTCTGTGTGTTAACAGCGTAATCACTTACAGAACATTTATCATATATAAAAACACTGATTTCTGTTTTACTGTAAAAGCAGCAGGTGGCACAGTGGTGCAGTGGTTAGCATTGTCGCCTCACAGCAAGAGGGTTGCTTAAACCTGAGGTGGGGGAGCCCTTCTGTGTGGAGTGTGCATGTTCTCCCTGTGTCAGCGTGGGTTTCCTCCAGGTGCTCCAGCTTCCTCCCACAGTCCAAAGACATGCAGGTTAATTGGTGACTCTAAATTGTCCGTAGGTGTGAATGTGAGTGTGAATGGTTGTCTGTCTCTATGTGTCAGCCCTGTGATAGTCTGGAGACCTGTTCAGGGTGAACCCTGCCTCTCACCCAGTGTCAGCTGGGATAGGCTCCAGCACCTCGTGACCCTGCACCAGGATAAACAGTCACGGAAAGTGAATGAATGAATGTAAAAGCAGCAGATTCACCATCTGAGGATCACTGTCTGCTCGTCTGGCTTATCTATTGTGACCTCACAGTATGAAGACGACGCAGTGTTCACGCGGAGATCAGAGGGTGCTGACGTTAAAGAGGACATCAAACTGAATGTCCTCCTTCACAGGAAACACACACACACACACACACACACACACACACACGCACACAGGATACAGGGAGTGCCTGCAGCACAAGCTGCCTCAAGCTGAAGGGTGGAGAGCTTTCAAAGGAAAAACTGTGTGTGTGTGTGTGTGTGTGTGTGTGTGTGTACGGTGTGTTTGTGTGTGAGTGTATGACCTTGCGCCGCAGTGATTGTGTGTCTCTGGATTTCCTGAAAAAGGTTGGAATGTGTTACGTTTTACCTCACTCTATTTGTGTGCATGTGTGTGTGTGTGTGTGTGTGTGTGTGTGTGTGTGTGTGTGTGTGAGACAGACTGTGAGTAAGATTTATATGAAGCCCACTGGCTTTGTTTCAGGATGATGACAGAACAACATAAAAGTCGACATAAAGACACACGACGCAGCTGTTTGACAACCACACACACAGAAACATAAAGACCATTATGAGGACTGGTCACATGTCAGAGTTTAAAGACGTCCTGATGTTTCTCTTTACAGTGTGTTTGACTTTGTGTCCAACACTTCACTATTTATGTTCCAGAGTCATAAACGCGGGGCTGCCCTCCGAAATGTGATGAGTCAAACCTGCTGACCCTGAGATGGAGAAGCTCCTGAGTCATGTTGCATCATCTCCGTGTCTGTTCTGAATCAAATCTGTTTCCAGTTTGTAGCTTCACAATAACACACTAACATCCTGAGTGTTCATCACAGTCTGAATATATCTCTGCGATGGTCGTCTCGTACCCTTTTTACACCAACACGCAACGAGTTCAGTTCCAGTTTGTGCATCTAATGTTGAACCATTTGGAGCATTTCGACTAGCAGGGGCAGGATCGCAGTATCACAGTATACCAGTGGTGTTAGAATCCCCACTGGTATGATTTTAAATTAAAAAAATACACGTTTCTCTTTGTACTCATACAGAGAGGCTGTACTGAGGATGTGTAGTATATATCACAAGCCACCAGAGGGTAGTCTCTAATGGTGGAACAGCAGCTGAGCTGAGAAACAACTGGGAGTGGTGGGATAGCGTTACAGGACTCCGGCCAGCATCGGCAGAGAGATACAATGTATTTTCACATCTAACTCTGTTAATTAAGGGTTTATTTTAACCAAACCAGAGCTGGTGATTGTTGGAACAGTGAACGAACTAACTCGGTGACTAACAAGACAAAGCAAGATCATTTCAGCGAGTTTCTTTTTTGTTTCTGTCAAGTTTGAATGAAGTGTGTTTTACTTTGAGTTAACAAGGAAATGAAATTAGTTCTAGTTGGTTAAAAGAGAGAAACTTAGATTCAGAAAAAAATACAGTTGTATTTTTCTGTTAAATACGAATAAGGGGGCATAAGCTCCAACACCGGCACACCGTTAGGACAGAAACAGAGTGCTCGACGGGGACAGAGCACCTGCTGCTGCAGCGAGCCAACACACAGTCTGCGGTCATTTTGACTTGACCAGCAGACTTCACTACAAGCTGATTGGCTGTTGA